AATATGTCGATAACAGTGGAGATGGATCTGACACACCCTGAGGGGACTACTGAATGACATCGTACGCCAAGCTCTTTCTCGAGTAGAATCTGAATGAGTAATGAAGAGTTGGCCGTGGGTCCAAGGGTGACATGGAGAAGATCGTGTTAGGAAGAGATGAGAGACTATGGACAACCATGAGGTCAGCTGGAAAGCACCGCAGAGAATAGGACAAAGTGGAGATGTGCTGTTGAAGCCCTATATTCCACTGGGAATCCAATGGAACCACACATATATGTACTGCACATGAGCAGGAATACTAGACACTGGAAAATGAAGAGTGATTGGGATTGGTAAAATGCGACTGTGTCAACTAATGCACAATAATCTCACACGAGACTTGAAAATATTTAAATTGTAATATATTGAGTTATCAAGTTAGGCATGACCTTTTAACAATAATAATTTATCAATGTCAATCAGAAAAAAGTCAGGAACGATTTTGCCATTAACATCTCAGGTCAAGAATACGATTTTTCAGAACAAAGGTGAAGATTCTAGATAAAGAAAAAGGCAAAGAATTCAAGAAGAAGTACATTGGTAGCTGGGTGATCAAATGAACCTGAAACACTAGAGACAAACACACACACACACACAACAGCGAGACACGACAATTCAACCAATAAGAATGGCGACAGCCAATCGCGAAAGGACAACGAAACAACCAATCAGAACGCAAATAGAAATAGCTAAAAACTTCCAAAAAAATATGCTACATAATGATCTGGGTGATTTTAAGACATACCCCAAAGTTCATCCGTCTCAATTAACAAGTCTTACTAGTCTCTGGTAGTCAATTTTTGTTTTCATAGTCATATCTAGACAGCAATTAGGCTTGAAAGTTAAGCATACAAGATGATATCTGCATTGTTTCGTGATAGTACACACGCATTCTAGTGGTGCTCATCAAAACTTGTGTATGTTGACATAATTAAAACGGTACACTTTTTTATGAGAAGATGGCTAATTAACACTTAAAGAATGACTCATATGATGACTTTGAAGATGCAAATGAAATTTCGCGTAGGTGATTGTGAAGTAATAATAATAATAATAATAATCTACTTTATTCCAAAAACAGTACTTCTAATACAGAATGGAATTCTCAGCATTTGTCACAATATCTTGCATCTGATTTACTTAAAATATAAATAAAATTAAAAATTAAAACAAAATTAACCAGAGGAATTTGACCACGTTTACGATATATAGTAAAAAATATTCGAAGCACGATTTGAGTATATTAAATATAATAATAATAATAATAATAATAATAATAATAATAACAGTGAGTTTGTTTCAAACAGTATTGCGGATTCAGCTTGGAAATTTTAGCATGTTATAGATTATTGGATCTAATGTTCTGTTGATATAGCAGCATGGTGAGGGGAAATACAAAATTAACAGTTATTCACACAGCTTAAATGATATTCACACTTAAGTAGAAATAAACAAATATAAAACAAAAAATTGGGTGGATTATGAATATAAGAAGAATAATAACAATAAAGGTTGATATTGTAAGGGTGGAGGAAATGGTTTGTATTTAGTAGTGCAAAGAAGGTTAGTTAGTTGATGCCTAACACTATTTTCATCACATAAAGTACGTGCCAAATATGGTATAGTGGAATTTTTATACTTAGACGTACTTGCATAAATTTTTCTGAAAAGACTTCTTGTTTTACACAAGGTGGGAGCTGTGAGTAGAGAGGGTGTTCACAGTCTGGCAAAATTCCATTAGCAAATTTGTTGCATGACATCAAGTGCTTATCAGTGACAATGTCAACGATATGGCCCAATGGGATACCACTCGTCATACTGACAATCTTCAGTGTTCTACAAAGTATGACATAGTCTTTTTTAAGCAATCCAGGAAAGAATAAGGGTGGACAGTAAAAAAGAATAGGTAAAATACTCGAGTTGACAAACTGTAAGAGAAGTGGTTGGATTATGCCTGAGTGCCTTAACTTCTTAAAGTAAAAAGTCAGACGAAATATTCCTTTAGAACTCGGTAAGACATAGGAAGGCCAAGATAGGTCCGAAGAAACAATTAATCCAAGATACTTAAAACTTTGTGACTGAGCCTTTTAACCCGAAGCTCGTGAGTTCGACCCTTGTTAGGGTGATGGGTGTGTACTGCTGTAGAGCCTAAAACTATAAAGAAATAATCGTCCAATACTCCCTGGTTTTCTATGGGTCTCTAAATACAGTCATTTCGTGATCTATCTTGAAACCAATCAAAACCCTGGAAACTAACACTTGAAGATAGTCATTCAGTTGAATAACGTTACTTCTTTGAGCAACTGGTAATAACTCTTCGAACATTTTAGAGTAAGGATCCTATTTAACACGTCTAGGCGTTTTTAATTCATGAGTATACATTGGATTTACAGCGTGACGCCCACGCACCACCAGTAGGCGACATTCACATCCTCTGATTGGTAGATTTCAGTTTATTGACATCACAGCTAATCAGCTGATTTTCGCCTCTCTCCAGGGCCAATTCATTTTCTCAAATTAACCTGATTGGCTGAATGGAGTCCAACGCTAATACCACCGATCTTAAATTCGATGGGACCAGAGAGGCTAAAACACAGCCAAGAGTGATCCAAATGATTTATGAAGTTATTTCTAGTCAGCATAAATACTTGGGAGGTACTACTATATTATTATTATTATTATTATTATTATTCAGGAATATAAAAACACGACATAATTTTCACTAAGGCGAGTTTGTATATATATATATATATATATATATATATTTGGTGTAGCATATTGTTACGAGATTAGGTGTATGAAAAGCATCGTATCCACTTCCTCCACACACATACACACACGCGCACACACAAAACTAAAAAAACAGAAATGCTACGAACATTTCCCAATCATTACATACCATCTGTTGTTAGGTAAATCAAGTCGAAATATAATGCTTTTAACAAAATTATGAAAAGCTGGAGAATTTTTTTTCCTTGAAAAATTAGATGTTCACTTTAGATTCGTATCGATCTATTTGAAGAAAGCATTGAATACTGCTTTCAGTCTGGTTTTAAAATCAAATGTTAGAATTTTTGTGTTATGAATCAAAAAGAGAGAACTTAGCAGTTTTTCATTCATTCTAGTTCAAAATAGGTTCAAAAGTACACACACAGAAACGACATACAAGGTTTGTTTGACAGTCAGTTGTTCCTGGAATAGGTTTCCCATGTACCAGGGGTACTAGGCACGTGCTTATTATGTGTTGCATTGTTCATATCCAAGACTTAGTGGCTGCAAGTAGAGGACTGCTTACGCCAATATGCCACGTCTCCACTATCAAGGTACGAGATAAGCAGGTTCAATTCCTAAAAAATTCACAACTTCATCACCCATTACTGATCGACTCATAAGATCTTCAGGTTATGAGATCAAGCTTAACATTGACCATTCAGTCACTTGAAGCCAAAATTCAATAACCCATGAATTTTAACTTGTCATAATTCGTGAAAAATGTATTAAAGCATAACAATGTAACAATCGAAAACACTTGAAAAAATCATGATTTCTAACTTTTATCAATTCACAATGTACTTTTATATGTCTCTCAATTTCAATGGGTTTATGATAAAGTTAATTGGCCGATAAACCAACTAAAGACATCAAGTCTGTTGCCTTTGAAATGATAACACTCCCTCCTCCCCACAAAATGCCTGATAAAAAGTGTACATTAGGCGCATGTAATTTAAAGTGTAGAGTGTGCATCGGTGGTATAGTGGCTAGGACGCTCGCTGACCATGCACATGGTCCGGTGTTCGATTCCCGGCCGACGCACTCTTTTACTTAGCTAAGCCAGAAAAAATGCTGGTTAAGAGGAACGGTTAGACATAAGGCTAGCAACCCCATCCTGTAAAATAAACACTGCTACAGAAATTTCAAGCCACTAGCTTAAAGCCCTATGTTGCACTGAGGAACGTGAAGGAAAGGAAAATTTAAAGTGTAGAAAAATTCATTGAGGCAATAACAAATCACATTTCGTGTAGATGACACAAGATAGATAGAGTAATCAATTGATGTTTACATGCCATATGCTAGCTAGTCTGTCTTAACGAGGCGATCTAAACGTTCAATTCAAACAGCCGAATCAGTTGGTTGAAACCATCCAAATTCTGGCTGGCTAGCTAGCTACTTGGATGGACTAGTATACTATAGAATTATATTCGTTCTTTAAAAGATGCTCATTTCGAGTTGAGAACACAAACACTATTGCTTGATATGACTAGTTTGCAACTACTACTTATACCAGTCAATCAGTAGTACATACTATCATACTATTTCCCTAACCTTATTCTATGTTGTTTATAGTTTCCGAAAGAAATTGTAGTGAATTCCTACCTCTATTATATCATTATTATTATTATTCTATTGGGTTCCCAGTGGAATATGAGGCTTCAGCAACACATCTACGTCCTCTCTAACTGACTTGCCTATAAGCTTTCTTCTCCAACTCACACAATCTCTCCAATGTCAACCTAGGATCCACGCCCAACTCACAGTTCTTCATTTGGGTCGCACTCGAGCGATGCGCTCACTGGCACCTAATGTTTCTCAACGGTCTTCTCAATGTGTGTCCAATCCATCCCCATTTCTTCCGACATATTTGCTGAGTGATAGATTCTTGGTTGGTTTTTTCCCTCGCCTAGTTTACTTGCTAGCGACCCTATCCCAGCCCCCACACACCCGAAAATCAACCTAATCGATAAAGGATCTTCAAAGCACAGCAAGGAATATAGTATTCTCATCTCTAACTTTACCATTTTCAAATGGACAACAATGCTAGTCAGCTAGTTGGGCAGGCAATGAGTCAGATAGTGTCAAAGAACTTTGTGGCTAGGCGGAATTCACAAGAAGATAAAACAACAATAATAACAATAACAACAACAACAGAAAGAATGGAAAAGTAAAGCAAAGCAACTACTTACTTGTTTTTGCTCTAGTTTGTATCATTCCAACATTATCCATAGCATCATTATTAGTAGGCAGTTCTTCACGAATTGTTATCTGCATAATACGTTCATCTTTTGTATGAATACTGTACAAGATTAAATTGGCCAATGCCATTGTGCTGAGTACATATATATATTAGTACAGAGAGTGGAAAGAGAAAAAAAAGAGGGAAATGTAGAAGTGATATGGGTTGGCGTGACAGTTGAGTGAGTACACATAACCCGCAGCGATAATAAAGCTATCAATAAAAAACGATAATGCATACACTAGAGGATTACATCATAATAAATAAGTAGTAGTACACTGTAGAAAAAAAAATACGGCGACGATGATAGTCACACTTTGACAGATAGATACCAATGAAATGGCAACAAATTAAGCGCCTCTGACCCACAGTGAACTACAAACACACAATCAGTCTAATCACCTGTCCTGTTAATGTTATTGAATATGAGGTCGTAATAGTCATGATCATCTAACATAAATCAGCTTTATGTGCATCATTGGCACAGCAGTTAGGACGCTCGCTCAGAAGTATATAAAGATACACTCATCAGCAGAAAAACATCAAATAGCACAGAGATAGATTTGATATCAAAGAAAGCAAATGACACAGCGTTGCGGAGTTGCATGGGACACGTGAAAGGAACACAAAATAAAACATAATATAAAGGCTAGAAGCAGCACAATGTGGAAGATTTGTGCAAATGGTGCGGCGTTGAAGATAAGGTGTACATAATTTGGTTATATGGAGATACCAAATTCCAAATAAACATTCCTTTACAAAGTCTTTCATCCTCTACTGTTACACTGCCTGTCCTATGCAGTAGATAACCTCATCTATCTTCAAATCTGTTTTATGTGACTACTGAAAATGGATATGAAAGATAACATGTGTTAGGGTAATAAGTTATAATGTTGCCTACTGGATGAGCCTAGTTTTCTATGCTGGTAACTCAGTTCAGTTTAGTTAATGAATTGATCCGATTAAATGCGAACTAGTTGTTCAGTTTACTATGCTTTATGTTAGATAATAGTCAAGATATATTGTAAATTGAAAAAAACAAATAATTTCGAAAGGGCAGACAATCAGAAGGGATGAATGGTAGGTGATATGTTCATCACATGTCATCAACCTAAACAGTTATGTGTAAGGAGTTCTCATTTGTCCAGTGTTATTAAACAGATCTAAAAAAAAACAACAAATATCTAGTAAGTGGTCATCGAGTTTCCAATGGTTACAAGTTTCATAATGAGATGACATCAGTTAGAGAACTATTGGAAAATAAGAGAGTTCTGGGCAGGTTTTTCATTCCACCGGAGTTCGGACGCAGGACCTTCTGGCTACAAAGTGGGTCTTGTGGACTGTTCAGTCACTAGAACCCGATCCAATCGTCCATGATTTCCAACTTCTACTCGCCAGCCAATAACATCGGTCAATAGCTGTCCCCTTATCTGACTCGGTGAATTCCACTGATCAGATGTTTTCCAGCTGATATCTCCGTTGTAATCAGTTGATAATAAAAACATAAGCCATAAGTATATCATATTTTCTTCAGTCTATCCAATGAATGAATCGATAAATCAAGTGAAGCTAAGTACAACACGAAAAAAGGATGATAACAGAGAAAAAGAATACGAAAAGAAAATAAGAGCACATAGAACACAAGTGAAACTATGCACGCACAAACACACAAATACACATTAATCAGACAATCACAACAAATCATTGCTTTTACATAAATGGGTGACACAGTATACTTACTACTGATTGACTGATATAAGTAGGTACAAACCACCAATCACTAAACAAACCGAATGAAGCGGTCTCTAAAATCTAGATGATTGTTTCACGCGTCTAGGAAAGGCACTCATCAACAGTGTGATAGGTTTTATTCACTTCAGACAGACTAATCGAATAAGCCAAAAGTATTCACTCCAAATTAGAGCTAAACGGTTGTTCAGTGCGTATAGATCACTTCGATCACAGCTGGTGTATACTATCGACTAATATGGGTAGTATCCTACCAGCCATACTAAACAACCAGCAGCATATAGAGTCACGTATATATATATATATATATATCACTGATGAAACCTATGTGGAAGAACATTGCTACTCCTCTCTGAAGGTGATATTCAAGGAGAAGTGTACAACTGTTCTAGGAAGAAGGAAGAAACAAGATAAGGAATGGCTGTCAATGGATACCTGGAAGCTAATCGATGAGATGAGGATGATGAAAGAGAAGGTGACCCAATGCAAAGATGGAAAACAGAAGGGGAAGCTGAGTTCAATGTACACTGTACTGAATAAAGAAGTGAAGAAGAGTGCTAGAAAAGACAAACGACAATTCTACGACACACTGACCGGCAACTGAAGTAGATCAGGCCGCAGCCAAAACAGACATCAGGACACTATATCAGATAACCAGGTCTTTATCAGGGAAGAGATCAACACAGATGATGAAACCAATAAAAGACGCTCAAAGGAACCTGATCACCAAGGAGAAGAAACAAATGAAACAATGGGCTGATCACTTTAAAGGACTCTTGAATCGACTGCCACTGGCAACTCGCCCAGAAATATCACCAATAGCACACACGGAAATGTCTGCCAGTGGACATCACTTCTTCAACTAAAGAAGAAATCCTGAATGCGATCATTTAGGAAGGCAGCAGGACCAGATGGCATTCCTCCCGAAGCACTGAAGAGGGCATCAGAGATCACGGCAGGTATTCTCACTCTATTACTGCAGAATGTTTGGAAAGAAGGAAGGATGCCTACTGATTGGAAGAAGGGCTACCCCGTCAAACTGTCAAAGAAGGGCATGTGCAAGAACAGGCGTGGAGTAATGCTCTTGTCCACGCTAAGTAAAATTCTAAGTCGCATCATCGTGGAGAGAATAACGGATCCACTGGATACAGAACTCAGCCCAGCGGAATAAGCTGGATTCAGTAAAGACAAATCATGTGTTGATCAGATTGCAACTCTACGCATCGTCATCATAGAACAAAGTATAGAATGGTAAGTCAAACCTCTGCATCAACTTCATCGACTTCGAAAAGGCCTTCGACAAACAGCGTTGACCGAGAAGTAATTTAGAAACTACTTCAACACTACGGCGTACCTCCAGTCTTTGTCAACCTCATTCAACAGTTGACTATATGACAATGCCAAGTGTCAAGTGATTCACAACGGAAAACTTAGCGAGTCGTTCAAAGTGAATACAGGAGTAAGACAAGCTGCCTGCATATTATCACCGATGATATTCCTAATTGTGATGGAGTGAATTATGCGCCAGACTGTGAGTTGTGAGTGAGAAGACAGGAATACGTTGGACCGACAAGAAGACTTCAGGCGACCTGGATTTGACAGATGATATATATCTAAAGTCACACAAACTCGAAGACTTACAAGAGAAAACCAACAAACTGGTTGAAGAGACATGCAGCGAAAACAAGACTGCAGGTGAACATAGAGAAGAGCGAGGCAATGAAGATAACCAATCAACAGTAACAACAAACAGCACCAATCACCGATAACGGGAGAGATTTAATGGAGGTTACCTCCTTCCTTCACTTATCTGTGAAGCACCTTTTCAACTACAGACGCAACGGACGAATTTTCAAAGTCAGAATCGGAAAGGCAAGATACGCCTTCATCAACCTGAAACCGCTTTGGAAATCTTCTGTAATCAGCATAAAGAAAAAAAATTCGGATTTTCAGCACACATGTCTAGTCAGTCAGTTCTTCTGTGCGTCGGTGGCACAGTGGTTAGAACTCTCGCCGACTATGCACATGGTCCGGGGTTCGAGCCCACGCCGGCGCACACCTGATATCTATGGTCGGCCTGCGAAATTTGGGCTACCGATATCCATGCTGAAAATACCTTACTTGTACCAAAAATACAGTGTGGAATCAAGATGTAAACCTTAAAAAAAAATCTAAAATCTATACGGATTGGAAACTTGCACTGCGTGTCAGTCATAAAAAGGATTTCCAACAGCCAGATGCAGACTTTCATCAGCAGCTTCTCCTAATTCGCTGGCTCCATACTGAAGATCAAATAGCCACCCGGCTGGCCAGAAAGAATTAATAAAAAGAAACTCTTCAGTGGAACAAATCAACTAAGAACTGATCGCTTAACAAATATGTAGGAGAAAGTGGAGATGGATCGGGCATACATTGAAGAGACCGTAGGATGATATCACGCGCAATGCAGGCCATCGCTTGAGTGGAATCCAAATGGGAAGTGACGAGTGGGTCGTCAGTGCAACGGTGACATGGACGAGATCGTTTCAGTAAGAGATGAGAGAGTTTGGACGATCATGGACCCAGCTGAAGAGGATGGCAGAAAACAGAACAAAGTGGAGATGTATTGTTGAAGCCCTATGTCCCACTCAGGACACAAGAGAACAATAATAATAATATCTGTTTTCTTGATTAATTTTCAGTCTCCAAGGGAAACTGTGCCAGTCGAATTTCACCTCTTTGAATTGTGTAAATTAAAGTAAAAAGTAAATTTCATTTGATTTGATTGTAATACTTACCTAACTTGAATTTCATAACGTGAAAAATAGAATGGTTGACAATAACACCATAAATATAATATTTCTTGTAGAATTGGTTTACCAGATAAATCTGGTATTGTAGATAGAAAATCAATTGCCAATTTTGTTTGTACACGAAATAATAAAATAAGTACAAAGAGTAAACTTTGTTTAGCACCATGTACACCTGTTTCTTGATCACTGTACAACTGGGATGCTGATTTATGATTATTTCCTAAAAAATGGGAGTGATGCATAGGCGGCGGGGGGGGGGGAACAAAGAGGGTGTTAAGATACATAAATAATAATAAAAAAAGTTAAAAAAGGCATTTAAACAGCTTACTTATGAGATATGCTGTAACTGAAATTGTTCCCATACCGATCTGCTGTATCCCACCACCATAAACGACCTCGTAGGACCGACAGTGGGTATGGCCAGACGTCCTATTCACTACCCTCACGCGGCACGGACTGTTCTTCACACAAGTGAAAGAGGGTATGCAAAAATCTTATGCTTACAACTGAACTGCTGAACATACTGATTAACTCAGTGTATTTACATAACCCTCATTCCGAACCTATGATGGTAGTGTACATAGGCTCAAGAATCCTATTAGGTCGAATGGCGTACGAACCTGTTTTGGTGATTCTGCTACACTGTCTTAGAAGACTTCAAGTCATACACTCTGGGAGTGGTTCCTTCAAAACAGCCTCCACCTACTTCAATCTGAACTTCCAGGTAGTAGTATTCCAGCTTACGAACAAACTATAAGAGCTTATGTGACGTAGATCTTGATGCTCATAATGCCACTAAGTTTGTGTTTTATTAACAATAATAATTACAAAATATTCAATCTATGTACAATATATTTTAATTGAATTTGATATTTTCCCGTCGATTGATTGGACCGAAGTGCTCGGTCTCAGGTTGACATGTCGGCTTCTTGTGCAGATGCTTTGACGATGTCTGGGCATTTAGTTAGTATTCAAATGATGGATGTTGACTACCAGTGGAATTCACCAGGATTCGAATTTCGTCCTATTAGGGACTCGTCAACTAGAAGGATGTACCTGCACACCTCAGTCAGTGATGATATTCCGACCGACATGTCAAACTAAGACCTAGCACTTCGGTCCAATCAATCGACGGGAAAATCTAAAATTCAATTAAATAATTAATATGACCCGTTACACAAGAGGTGGCTCTGGTGGCCCAAGTGGTCTAGTGGATAACGCTTTGGCGTTTGAAACTGTGGACACTGGGTTCGAGCCGTGGTGGGAACATCATCACTCACTGAGAAATCCAGGTACATCCAGCTGATGAGTCACAAATAGGAGGAAGTGCGCATCCTGGAATGGAGAAATACCCTTAGGGCTGGATGTTGTACTCGGAACCTTTCAACGCAGCGGCCTGCTTACAACTGGGGCTAACAAAAATACTTATCATCATTATATTGGTCGATAATTTCTCCTGTTCACTTTGTTTTCATCAATTAAAATATGATCTCTAATGCTATGACTTACTTTTGCGAGAATTTAAAGTGATTACAACTTGGTGATTCACCAGTTTTTACCATACTTGAGAATAAAAGAGTATTCGTGTGTGACAGTGTATCCCGATATATTATATGATAACTGTTCCTAAGTTATATCTGTGGGTCTCCAAATGCATTCCTGAACATTTTATAATTGGATTTCAAACAAATATATCGTGCATTTCTTGAAGTAGACATTATTATTATTATTTCCTTTAATTCCTAGAGGAACATAGTGCTTCAGCTGCGCGTCTCCATTACGTTCGGTTCTCTGCTAAGGTTTTCACATGGTTCCAGGTCTGCGCCCACATGCTTTCATCTCCTCTTCACATGACCTCCTCCACGTCACCCTCACCGTGACGACTAACTAGCCGCTTCCCTTTCGGGTTCCACTCGAGCTATGGCTTGTCTAGTGATGTCACCTGATGATTTCCTCAGAGTATGGCCAATCCATCTCTATTTCTTCCTGCCTATTTGTTTCACAATCGGTTCCTGATTGGTTCGCTCCCAGAGATCCCTGTTGCTGATCTTTTCTGACCATGGGACATGGAACGTCCGCACTATGTACGAGGTTGGCAAGGCTGCCCAGATTGCAAACGAAATGAAATAGACATAGATAAACTATGAATTGGTTCGTGCTTCACGTAAGTCAGCGTTGTTGTCTAACTGATATCAATCTGTGGTCTAACCTGAAACAAACAGAATCCCTACAAACTAATTCTTGAAAATTAATCTAATGCTCGCTAGTGACTGACTAGCTAGAGGATGAAGTTGCCAGGAGTTTAAGTGAAAAGTCGTGACCATTGGGGTTCATCCAGCCGGCAGTGAGGATGGAGTCCGCCCGCCCATGACATTGGTTGGTGGTTGCACTTTTATTATTATTATTATTATTAACGAATGAACAATAACATTAAAACTACTAGGATGTAGAGGTGCCACATAAAGACAACAATGTTGAAGTTATACCAAGAAGGAAACTTACAGAGGAGAAAAATTCCTCACCAAGTTTTTTAAAAGACATATATATATATATATATATATTCATGATTAGACTATGTACTAAGAATGTCTGATCACTTTCTATCCCAAATAAGGCAATAACTTTTATTGTATGAAAAAATAAAACAGACTAAGGTGGAAATTATTGATTTAAAGGTACAATAAAGTATAATTTTCAAGAGTTATTTGTTTTTCAAGTTTGATCACGGATTGATAACAGTTGGAAAACCACTGCGAACCAACCACGGGGAGTATTCGACAGCTGGTTCATCCTAGTTTGGGCAGTATACTCTCAGTGGGTTTTGAACCTAGAACCTTCCGTTTACAAGGCAAGCTCGTATATCATTCAGCCACTGGGACCCGACTCAATGATCCATATTTTCTAACTCCTACCAATTCGTGGTTTTTTAGCACGACTTCCAACGACTGTCATCGCCGGGAACTCCATCCTCATGCCCGAGTGGATGGACCCCACTGGTCACGACTTCTCACTAGAACTCCTGGAAACTTCGTCCTGTAGCAAGTCATTAGCAAGCATTAGATTAATTTGTAAGGCTTTGATTTGTTTTTTGAGTTCGAACCATTCCAACCGGACGATCTTGGGTTCAAAACTCAATAGGTGCGTACTGCCAATGAGTCCCACCCAAACTAGAACAAAAAAGCTGTCCAGTAATCCCTGGCTCTCAATGGTTCTCTAACTGATATGAATCCGCGGTCAAATTCAGAAAATAAAGTATAAGCCAAAATTAGAATCAACAATACACCAAGATGGGGAATATCTTTCTGACTACACATTGCAAAGCGTGCGCGCCCACACACACACACACTCAGTAAGGAATCAGAGAAAATAATTATGCAGAGAAAAATATACTATTTACAACACGTTCACTACAATAAAATCATTATCCTACACATTTAGTCCAAAGTAAGTCATTTTTTATCTCCTCTCAGTCGGTAGAATAAAACATTTTCAAATTCAACTTCTGTCGCCGTAAAGGCGGTTATAAAAAGCATCAAAGTGGAAAAACAAAGGCAATATAGCATCTGTACACGACTCTCTGTGTCTCTCCTATTTCGCGCATATTTACATATTATCATTATTATTATTCGGCTTCACAATACTTAAATAGTATGCACAAATGGAGAAAAAGTAGTCAAGGTGATGATTTATTGCATTCCTCTTTCAAAGTGAAATTAAATTCTCATTATTCTCTCTCTCCCTCTCTTTATGTGTGTAATTATTCTTTCTCCCGAATATTTTTGTTCTTTCCCATGAATTTTAACTTTGCGGTTTGTTAAAAATACCTTTGTGTGTGTGTATGGTTTTTTATGAAGCGTGACCATTTGAACTTCTCCACTATTTATATTTTTCTGAAAACTCCTAAATTTATAAATTCTCAGTTTACTTTAGACGGTAGTTTCTGTCTATCTGCCTGCCTGCCTGCCTATTTGACCATATATTTTTATACAAAATAGGGCAGAGTTTAAGATGACTATAATATCCCGTCTTTATTTCTCTATTTCTCGGTATAAAACATTTTAAAGGTTTAAAAATAAAAGATGGATTAAGGACATTGGTAACAATCTTTGTTTCGGTTCAATATGTATGGGTATAATAAATTTTCTCAATTTGGCACAACACAATAGTGAACACAGTTGTTCATCATCTTAGCGTCTTCCATATTCAATTTACAACATTCCAATCTTATAATTTGAAACAAGAAAAATAAGAAAAATCTACTTTCATTTTATGCCTTTTCGACATTCTTAGTAATAACTTTATTTCATACAGTCTATAACTTTCCTGTTGATTGAATGGACAGAAGTGTTTAGCCTCTGAACAAAGAAAGAAAAAAACATTGGAGCGCAGAATAATCTCAATCCATTTTATTTCGTTGGTTTTCATCGGTTGCGTACAACCTGATTTTTTTTTTAAATTATACAATTTTAACAAACCTTTATCCAGAAGCAAGCATATTGTCAGAGCGTCATAGTAAAATAAGGCGTTGAGATTTACAGGGTGTCTAAAGTGTTACGACATACATATATAGATATATATCTTGGTAGAGAGAAGTTTCTTGAAAAAAATTAATTAACAGTTGTTTTGTTGGTAACAGTTACGTAATTAGATAAGAGAAGATCAAAATCTCGGTGCACATGAGATCAGATGAGAAGTTGATGATGTAATACAGTGGGGAGGGGGGAGAACTCAGAAGATCAAGACAAATTATCCATATTAGTTTGTTTATTAGATGTATCACACAGTGAAACAGTATTGAATACTGGATGACGTTACGAACACAATTTATTGTTCATAATCATATCAATTGTCACAAATTATCACAAAAGACAAATTATCTCTTAGGAGAGTCAAGTGAAAAATAAAGGGAGGGGGTGGAGTGAAAGAATAAGCTAACAAAATTAGAAAACTAAGAGTTACTAAGATGTAAGTCACCAGGGTAAGTGAAGTTTTTTCAAGAAACTTCTATCTACCAAGATATATATCTATATATGTATGTCGTAACACTTTAGATACCCTGTAAATCTCAACGCTTTATTTTACTATGATGCTCTGACAGTATGCTTGTTTTTGGACAAAGGTTTGTTAAAAATTGTACACTTTTAATTTTTTTATTAAAAAATGCAGGTTGTACGCAGCTGATGAGAACCGACGAAACAGAATGGATCCAGATTATTCTGC